TTTAAATCGTTCGTGCGGTGTCATTTTATTATAATCTGCACACTTAAATAAGTGCTGGTACATAATATTATCACACAGGCACTTCTTTGAACGGCTGGCGGTTGTACTGACGCATGCCTGATACTTCGGCGACGAAGTATCATTACAGCGACGATTATTATCATTACCTCGTCGACTGTTTGATGCACTACTAGAGTTTGTGCTAGAATCGGTGCGTTGCAGAACTTTAGAGCGGGTTTTAATAAAATTTATTAAATCATCAAAGGCAGGTATTATCGAGCTATGATCGTATTCGAAAGAGCGAATGGTATCTGAGTCCAGCTTCTTAAGCGCGTTATATAGAATAATTAAGTCCGCGAGATTATCCAACTTTAAGTTTTGTAAAGCACGCACTGTACTTATAAAGTTATCAGTAAATGAATCAAATTTATTTGCTGTGGCCGATTGCCATGGCTTAAACTCGAACATCTGATTTGATGTTCGAGTTTAATATATACGCGGAGGCTAGCATACGCTTGTCTTCGTATTTATCAATGAGTGCTTGCAATAAAGTTTTATAATTTTCAGCGCATAGAGTTATACCTGAGCACACAGAGTCTTGCCCGTCAGTTTACCTAGCAGATAGTATAACTTCAGTGTGAGTGGGTGATGGGTTGATATGGACAGTTGATTTAAAGCTGGCATAAAATAAAGGCAATGAGCGAATGTCACCCGAAAACCGAATAGAAAATTATGTAGATATTAATTACGAATATAAGGATTAAATATATATGTAAATAAAGGAAGTAATTTAACACTAGTCTGTAATTGTAATTAGAAGTTGATGACGTAATGTACAAACAACAAAAGGGATTAAAATATAGACAAATGTTCTACAATTATAGTTTTATAATAAGTATTAATATTAATGTCACTATTAGGGCCGATTTTACTATCCTAATAAGGGCGGAAGGTCAATCCCAGGTCGAGTGACGAAGCACTGTCATGTAACATGAAAGATTGTAATATAGATTGAATCTACAATTACAGTTTAATAATGAATATTGTTATCGCTTAATAAAACCTATTTTAGTATTCTAATAAGGGCGGGAGACCAATAAATGTGAATAGGCTCAAAGTGGCCAAACAAAATATGGTCTATAATTATGATTACTGATGTCACTTATTAGGGCCTATTTAGTTCCTAACAACGGCGGAAGGTCAATCCGGCGAGAAGTGACCACACAAAGTGGACGCGCCAGTAACGTGGATTTCTTCGATAAAAATTTGTGGACTGTATTGGTACATACAACAGCAGAGCAAGGATAGTGGATGAGAGTGGAATGTACGCACTAGTCTCACCTTCCTCCCGGAGTATCAGCTAACACAGCAGGTCCGCCACGTGGATCGGCGCACGCACTCTTAGACCAGTTCTAGGATGTCACACACTCCTTAACTCTCGACTTATTGTAATCGCGAAAGGTGCGTCACATTCGCGAAATTACTAGGACTCCGACTAGGATGTCCGGTGTCAATTAATATTAAGGAGGAGATCGAAGCCAGCGCGGATCACTAGTTATTTATTAATGTTATGTTGTGAAACCAGACAAGTGAACAAGTTATCAAATGTTTGTTGCATGCATTGTTTTTCCTTGAAAGGGTGAAAATGTTGATGTATTTTTAATAATCTATTCATTTTTGTAACAATCTTTGGGTTAATCTATACATATAATAAAACTGTAAATAGCAGATGTCTGTACATTTTATATTTTTGTAATAAAAGTGATTGAGGGGTACTAAAAATAAGTAATTAAATACATTTCTACCATTTTTAGAATTTTCTGTCTGTCTGTCTGTCTGTCTGTCTGTCTGTTTGTTTGTTAACGTATCACGTATAAAGTACTAATTTATATCATAAGAATTGTTAAGGAAATTATAAAGTGTATCTTCGGGTTACATTTAGTCTTTATTTCATTAAAATCAGTTCATTCCATCAAAAGTTATGATAAATATTCTGAAGTATGGGTAGGGAAGTATAGGTACGAATTTGCTCAACGGTGGCTTTGTTTGAGTCATCAAGTGCATTTTAAACTAATATCATATCATAAATCATAGTTAAATTATGTAAAATAATGATATAATTATGTATATCTAAAACGCAATAAACAAAAGTATTAAAGAACGTATTAAATATATTATAAAAAAATATATTAACCTTATTAACTAAATCTGAAGCACAATAGTTTTCCCATTTCTTCGATAGATGGTGGTGTTGTGAAAATGTAATGCAATTGCAATGTGGTTTTTTCCTGTAGATGAGTTTTCATATTTACTGCTAATCTTTATTATATTACTCGCTGCCCTACTGCGTGTTGACAAACTAAATTTATTCTTTACCGCCGAGTACTCTATGTGGTAAATCAAATTTTAAAAGAGCTATTAACAAATCGTTGGTTTTGGCGAGAGTCAAACTTTATTTTTTGCTTACTGTGCAGGTACTGATTTATAAGGTCTCTTGCGTTTTATATAATGTATCAATCGCGTCAATTAATCTCTTTTATTTTTAGAATTGATGTTAGCAGCGCCATCTCTCTTTAAATATATACATATAATAAAAATGATGATAACATGTTGTGTCTCTTTCTGTACATTGTATAGGTATATATTTTGGTGGCTAAAATCATTATGGGGAACTGAAAATAATTAAATAAGAACATTTTATAATTTTTAGAATTGTCTGTCTGTCTATTTGTCTGTTATTATATGAACGCATCACATCTAAAGTAAACATCTTTTATTTTCAAAGAAATCGTTAAGAAAATCATAAAGCGTATCTTCGAGTTACATTTAATCTTTGTTTTATTAAAATTGGTTAATTCTATCGAAAGTAATGATTATTATTTTGAAATGTATGTTCGAATTTGTTCAATGGCGCCATAAAATCTCAGAAATAGTAATAAAAAGATTTGTGTGTAAAAAAAAAAGGTTCCATAATAATTAATATATTTATACTTAAAACACAAAAAGAGATTTAAAAAGGATGTTTTCTCACACAAAGGACGTAATAGATGGAGTTGTACAAATTACAAACTTTTCTGAATTGCTGTGTTGAGATTTTTCGCCGATGAATCGTGTTGAGACTTACTGAAGAAATTTGTATCCATCGAAGCCATACAACGGAATCCGACCAAAAATAAAAATTTTGCAACGAAATGTCGTGATATTGTATTTATAATATACGCAAAATCAGTACTACCATTTTAGCGCTTTGGGAACTAGATTTAGCGTTTTTTTGGAATGTATAGCGCGCATTTCGAAATTTTAGCACCTAGCTTAATCCAGCGCTTTTGGTGTATTTAGCACACATTTCAATATTTTAGCGACTAGCGGGTTATTTACTCTTTTATAGCAGCACTGTTAGTCCACATTACCGATAATAATAATAATGACCTTTATTATTTTTTCCCACAAATAGTACATTGCAGTTTATCTTTTTCAAACATATTTTTTCCACAAAACAAAGAGCATGGGAGACGAGTCCAAACTAGGATACCCTGTGCTATGGATCTCCTGGCTTCCCCTTTAGGATGATCAACTTGATTTTTTTACCGACGACTATAAGCGGGGAAATCCCCTTTATTAAAGTTTTCGTTCATGGTTTTGGCAACGCATTTATTTTGCTTTAATCAGTTTCAGTCAGTTGCTTAGAGCACAGCTAAGTTAAAAGTTATTTAGAAGTTATAACACAAAGAAACTGTGTAGCAACCGCAATCAGATGCTGACATCTGAAACTAAGTTGCGAAATACATTGCACTTTAAAACAATTAATGACATTTTTATTGTTCGTACAGTACTAACTACTGTTGACAGCAATTGCCATAATTATAAGTCGATGTCCTGCGAAGTATTGATACATCAAAAAATATTGCCAGAAAAAAAACTTAATGTTGTTTTCTTTATTATGATTATATAAAAAAACACAAACTTTGTTTGTAGTTAATTTAGCGCGAAATCTAGGGCTTTTTTTAAAGCGGTTTTCATGAAATCTAGCGCTTTTTGTGTTGTCCTAGAGCTGAATTAGTTTTTTTTATCTGGCAGCACTGCCCAAAAACCCTCTATTAAGAAGAAACTTTCCTTTCAGTTTTAAGCGCGTTCAGTTCCCAGTTACAGTGAGCGTGTGTTATGCGATGACCGTAAATAAAGCGCAAGGTCAAACTTTACGCGTTGTAGGAGTGTACCTCAGTACTGACTGTTTTGCACATGGCCAACTCTATGTTGCTTTTTCCCGCGTTAGTAGCCCCCGTAACCTTTTTGTGTACACCCCGGCTAAGCCTACTTCTAACGTCGTTTACACAGAAGCTCTATCATAAACGACTTAGAACTTTGATGATAATGATTTATTTAATTACCACTCATTGATACAGTAATAAAATAAATCGTTTAATATTCTCTTACCTAAACGACAAATTGTTTATCTAAAACCTGTATACGCGAGCTACGCCGCGGGCACAGCTAGTATAACAATATTTGTATTTTTATCCCTATTCCTATCCCGTTCACTTTCAATATAGTAAATGATTAAAAAAAATACTTATAAAAATTTAATTGAATTTCAAGCACAACGCTCGAAAATCTATAAAAGTTTTGAATTTTTGGTTTTTATTTATTGAAAATCTTTGAAACGGCTCGACCGATTGACTTGAAAATCTGATCAGTGCGAAGTCTCAATGAACACTTTTGAACGCCGTGTCGTCCATATCTCGATCGGTTGGTTCGTCCTAAAGATATAGTACGACAAAATTTTATTTACATACACACACACCGGATGTCCAGCCGGGAAGAGTCTGAAAGGCTTCCTAGGACCTCAAAACGTGAAGGATCTGATGGAAATTCGCATTCTCAAAATCGGACCGATATCTAAACTTCCTACTTTTGAAAATTATTAATTTTCAAATGCGGGAAGTTTAAATATTTTTATTTAATAAGGTAGCTTTAAATTTAGAACATATTTCTCAGGAATCATGTCATCAAGGCTCCCCGGGCGTATGCCTGTTAGTGTTGCTCCAAGGCCCCAAAGGATACAACCGATGAGGAGAGCCGCCGCCACTATGAAGAAATTCGACCCAACGAAAAGAGTCGCTCCAGCGGCAACTGTCGTCCCACCGAAAAGAGTTGCCGTTGCGAAAAAAACAGCTCCAGTAAAAAACACCGTAACTGTGATAAAAACTTCAGGTCATCCAGTCGAGTCCAAGACGGTGCCTAAAAAGGGTAATTTTATTAATTTACTTTGCTTCTCTCGTATGTTAGAAATTATAATGTTTGTCATATTTTTTTCGCCGCTGCCTACATGCATTGGTTTCAAATCAATAACAAAGGCAACGTCTAATACATAACTAAAGTAAGCTAAAATACGTCGAAAACAATTTTTTTAATAAACACTTAATAATTGCTTCCCTGATTTCGAGACACTACTAAGAATTCAAGAGTTGTTGATAAAAGTATGCAATAACAATTTTCGCACCTAGGTTCGAATATTTCCTTCGACTAACTAATTTTTTTTTTATAGGATAAGGGTGACAAACGAGCACACAGTCCACCTGATGGTAAGTGGTTGCTGCGGCCCATAGACATCTACATCTATCCTCGTTTGCGAATCAAAATGCAGATGCGTTGTCACCCGTGAAGACTTAGATGGAATGCCTCATTTCCAGTAAAAAGGGCCTCCGGCCACCTGCACTCACCAAGCGAAACGCAGAGGTAAACCTCTACTTCACGCTGGTATTCTGTGAGGTCGTGGTACCACACCGGTTCGAGCCGGCCCATCCGTGCGACAGCAAAAGCTGCCGCATGGCTCTACCACTAATTTTAATTATAATTCCAAAAAATCTAAAAAATATATAGTTGGTGTTAATTAGTGTCTATTCCGTGGTTTGGATAGTATAGCTGTTACAAAGTTTTATTTATCGAACAGAGACGAAAATCATGGAAAAAGATAAACCAAAACCAAAAGTGGAGGACCATAATGTGAAACCTACGCCTGAAGGACATTACGAACTAAGCCCGACAATGTCGCGTGCATTGGATTCTGAGCTAGAATGCATAATGATTAAGGTACGTTTTTCAATTGCAAATTTTTTAACTTGATGCACATAAAATATGTATTATGGCGATGGATTATATTTTATTACAGGCAGGTGTAGCGGTGTTCTATAGGCCGAAAGATAGATGTAAAAAAAAAACTCAAACGCCACAAAAAAAAATATAGAAGAAACGTTTTACTGTCCAAAAAATTGACACAGTTAAAAGAAAACGTTACAAATAGCTTCTATTATATTTAACTATCTAGGCTTAAAGTAATTAGGAGAAAATTATGGTTAGGTTAGTGTATCGTTAAGTGAGCAACTACCCAGAATAATAAATCATAGACCAGGGTGTGTCTATGGGAGTTAACCACCCGCGAATTGCTGTCTCCACCTACAGCGCCCTCTAGAGTGTACTTTATGTGACGTTGTCGATATATCGACTCGGCACACGAATGGACCTATCGGTCTGAGTAATAATAGATCGAGGAGATATGCGCGCTGCACAGGGATATTTTAAAACAAGTTTTTCTTAATCCACATTGAAAAATGAAAAATCAAACTACTAGTATAGTTACCGGCACGAGTCGTGAGCACAGATGAACTGTGGTGGGGGTTGAACCAGCGTAGGTACACTGTCGGGCAAAATTATTTAGTACAGCATTATTATTTCAATAGGTAATTGAATATTTTCGCAGACTTTTATGAAAATGTTTACCTGATTACATAAACTTTTGCTTTGATACAGTAATCTTGCAAATATTCGTGACCGTTATTTTATTATCTACTATATAGTATTTAATGTATACCTACGTCTGTCAAACTCAATAGAACAATTTACATGTGCTTAGAATTGTAGACTTTAATAAGAGGAAGGAAGAGGTGATATGCCTTCCATAAAATCTGGAGTTGCGGTGCTAATAGAGGCCCCTTAATCTTTCCAGTTCATCATCATCACTATCATCACCATAATCTCCTAACTTGACTCAGAGTAATCATTGCCCAATTGAATGATAAATTCCTCCGTTATTTGTTCAATGATGTGGTCGTTTTTCTTCGATCGATCTTTCACTTAATGGCTAAATTTTGCACATTCACTAGCACCTGGCGCACAGTCGTGATAATCCCCCGACTGTGCGCCTGCTTTGAACGTAAGCAGAGCATTTGACACAAAACCTGTCTCACTTCATGCGTGGGCTATCACGATTCGTTGCCCTTTTAATATGGGTTTCTTAAGCCCTTTGATTTGACCTTGGGTTTGATCCGTCTTGACCATGCCTTAGACATCGAATGGACAAATCAACATATGACTCGACCATTTTGTCTTAGATCGTGGTCGTGGTCTGTCGAGGACCCATCGCTAATAGCCATACCCTCTCCTACACACGGTACCCATTTGTAGTTAACGTAGGCACTTATGATATTCCGATTAATTTGCGAAATTTCGTGTAAAGGTTTTACTGGATATTTTGTTTTAACAGGTGTGGCAAGAATTCCCCGACGATCCAACCACGGATGAGGAGAAACTCGTTGCTGAAAAGTTCAGAAATGAAGCCGGTGACGATCTAAGAAATGTAAGTACATGTGTTATTTTTATTTTCAGGTACATATTTATAAAAAGAATAAAAACAAATTGCCTAGTAAAAATACGGTTGACCCTACAGGCCATCCCTGGAACTTCCCGCTAATTTCAAATGCAAAGCGCTCCAAATTCCACTAATTATAACGTTTTTGAGCTCGAAAACACAAGTTAAATCAAAAACGATCCGAGGAGAAATTTCTAAGTTATTTGAATAAAATACTTTTTAAATCGTTAAGATTTTGATGGGGTCTGGGGCAATCAAATGCGAAAAAAACGGGAAAAATTATTTAAAAAAAATATTTTTGAAATTTTTATATTTGAGATTTCTCAAAATCCGATTCTCTTCAAATGGTAAAGAAAACCTAAGATTGGTGAAGCCCTTTCGAACGCCGCTAAGTTCGTTCAAGTTGGCAAGCCATAAGTTATGAGAGAGTTATTTAACACACACACACACACACACACACACACACACACACACACACACACGCGCGCGCACACGCACGCACACAGTGACATCCTCGTAGGAATAGTCAGAATAGCTTCCTAGGTCCTCAAAACGTCGAGATCTGATGAATCGACGGTTTTCGAAAACTGGGGTGAAACCAATAACCTCCCGATTTTTTAAAAATCATTGTTTTTCATAGCTGGAATATATGGAGTCAAATTATTTTCAGATATTCTGTGTTTTATGTTAAGGACGTTATTACATTTTTGACGTGTTCGAATTTAGATATTCTAATTGGGAGCTGACTTACGCATGCGCACATTGAAACAGTTTTCGCGCTATATTATATATATTATACCTAACTAAACTTGATACTTGCTCAGTTGGTCTGAGCAAGTATCAAAGGCCGTATACAGAAAGAAAGCTGGCAGCCTATCAGCGCTTATAGGGACCGGTCCACGCTGGTAACCGGCTCAGGCATTTATATGAACAGGCGCCGATAAGCGCCGAACGTCGCCGACAAGTTCCGATAAACTTCGACACGCGCCGGTCAGCGCTGGCGCCGCCCCCCATTTAAAATTAATGAATAACTATACGACAACACGTACAACTACGACACGCATATATTTTTGTTAAATAGAGAAATGAATAGTGAGGTGTTGATTTTACGGAAGACGGCATATCAAGGGTAACACTTAGATACTTTTTAAAATCGCTCTTATCTATATCTATACAAATACATAAAATTGAAGTGTCTGTTTGTAATATCAAAATTACAACGTTTTACTAAATGCATATGGAAGTATAAACAGTACTTATAACAAAAATACACTTTTTAAAATTTTTGTCTGTCTGTCCGTCTGTTTATTCCGGCTAAATTCCGAAACGGCTGAACCGATTTTGACGGGACTTTCACTGGCAGATAGCTGATGTCATAAGGAGTAACTTAGGGTACTTTTATTTTAGAAAAATAATTAGGGTTCCTCGCAAAAAAATTAAAACCCTAAATTACACGCGGGCAAAGTCGCGGGAAATAGCTAGTTACAAAATAATAATGTCGGTACAAATCTCAAAGGATCTTGATCTGCTGTTGACTGTACAAGTGTATATTTGAACCACGTTAAAACATTTTAAATTCATGAAATCATCAAATTTCAATCGTTTTACAAATAAATTATGGTATTCTTCGAAACGATTCCTTTCTCTATTAATATGATGTATAGCTTATTTTGGCATTTTAAAATACACATTTGCTAACAAAAGTAATTCATCGTCCGACGAGTACGACATTTTGCTTGTTCTGCTTCAATCGGCTTGCTTTATGTAACTGTTACCACAATAGACCAGCGCCGATAAGCGCTGGTAGATCGGCGCCGCCTACCAGCATTCTTTCTGTATACGGCCAATGGAAGAAAGACGGAGCGCTGCGTACATTTCAAGTGTAAAACATGAAACCATGCTCAACTTCTTGACACGCACTCTTATATACATCTTTTTTCTTTTTTTTCTTTATCAGCCTGTAAAAGTTTACTGAGGTTACTTGAAGTATTACTAATTTTACAAGTATTAAGTAAAGTTAGTTGTCTAAACTTTGCAATCGCATTTGGTATCTGGCATGATAATAATGTTCATATTAGGGTGAGTGGAATATGAAAAACGGGGTAAGACAAAAAGGAATCAGTAAAGACAGATTTTGTGTAATTTATCCAACGCTGGCAACATTCATAAGACCGCCATTTTGTTACGTACCAGTACCACACCTAAGTCGGCACTTGTCGTTTTGAGGGATCGGTTGTGTGTTATAGGGAATATCTACGCTGTGAATTTTACGCGAGCAAGTCGGGTGTTTTAATCTTACCCCGTGTCGTGTAACTTGATTTACGAGATAGGTACGAGTTTTTTATTTGTATACATACTTATTATTTTTAATTGGTAGTTGTGTTGCTATGTCTAAAAATCGCTACTTTTTGGATTTTAGGATTTATTGTAACATTCCGTCTTTACCCGCCATAATTTGACGGGGTAAGATAAACATATAAAAGTTTCCATCTTGCCCCGTTTTCAAAAGTCATACAAATGTTCTCAAACTGTACCTGAAAACTCACCAGACGAAACATGGCAGCCAGTAAGAAGCTAACCACTTCACGCTGATTTTCTGTGAGAGGGTAGTATCGCACGGGTCGACCCTGCTCATTTATGTGTTACAGTGAACTGTAGACGTGGATCTACTACCAAGTTTTTTTTTTTATTAATGTTTAGTTATAATTTTTTTGCAGTTTTTCTATCTTTTTAGTTGTGGCATTTTTCTAAGCTCTTATTAATTGGTTAGCTGTTTAATTTTGAAATATTTAATTTTTTTACCGGTGCTACATATTATGTTGACGAAAATGGTAAAAGGTATATGTACGTAATTGTGTTTAAAATTATCTTGGCATTAAAAATAAAAAAAATTATATGATTGATATCTTTCATTTTCTGTATAATCTTATCCAAGTAAAGTGAAAAGTTTAAGAACCTCTAGTTCAATCTTTCCCCGGCGGGTCAAGATTGAAATATAAAAAACAAAAAAGTTGTGTTCTCTGTGTTATTTGAAGGTATTTTGATATTATAGACAGTTCTGAAGTGTCAGGACAATTAAAATTGTAGCCTGACAGACTGTCAATATCGTCTGACATTAATTTGAACGATTTTAGAAACTACTTCGATCTTACCCCACCACCCTTTCATCTTTCCCCCTGTTTTTTTCTTTAGATAAAAACATTGTAATTAATTTTTTTTGCTTTCGAATAAATATAACAGGGATTTATCGATATGACATAAACATATGTTCTTTGTACTTTATTCACTATAGATATAATTTTAGCTTAAGTTAATATGTACTGTATTATAAGACGTCAAATACAACACTGCTCATCTCATCAGAAAACCGTTCGATCTTCTTCCCCCCACTCACCCTATTTGTAAATTTGAGAGTGAGGTGCGGGTTCAGCATTATTACGAAAGAATTTAGTATAGGTATGACTCCACGAGCACGTATTATATGTGAGTAATGAGAAAAATAGATTATTTTAAAAAAAAATCAAAAATAAACCAGTTAAATGTTTGCTTTTACACGCTACTCTCTTTGGTTTTTTTTTTTTTTTTGATAGCATCCACAAACGCTGTATTAATATAAAAACTTCTCATAACTATTTAGACTATAAAATTTCCTTATGTTATGAGTAATTGACATTTGTGTAAGATAAGCGGTAGATGGATAATCAGTACTTGGAACGTGAATAAGTCCTTAATGGTGTGTAAATTGAGAGTATTAAACAGTTTATTTATTACATTAGATTCCATGGTAAACTACATTACCACTCTACGTACAAACGTTTTTTTTTTAATTTCTATAAAATTGACTTACCATCCGAAGTTAAGAAAACGAAATATCTCAACATTTTTCTTTTCAGTTATTCATATAGTTTTATAATCGATTGTACTCGAATCTCGTAATATCTTACATATTATAACGTAATAAAAGTAGCAACGCAATAAATGTCATTTTATTATCAGATATTTTAATCATTTATTTTTAATAAAATGTGGTGTCTGTGTGTGATCTCGTGTGTAGTTTCTAAATTATTTGTCTGTTTTCTGTGAACTTGACGTTATAAAAAAGAATTATTGGTTTGCCTGCACGCAATTAAATTTTGCCGTGTAGTGGCGGTGTAAAAATATCAACTACCCCATATCATCCCGTGGTTGGTGTAAGAGGCGACAGAGGGAAACAAATCAGAAGATAGGCAGCAGCGTCTTCCTAATAACGACTTAAAAATAGAAAAACCTGCGGTTACCAACCCACTTGCTACCAAACGTGGCAACTTTGGCAAATATCCCCCATGAGGCAATCTATGAGGGAGACCCGTGTTCAGCAGTGGACTTAATAGGCTGTAATGTAACGGTAACACAAAATTTATTCAATTCACATACATAATACTAAATTTCATTCTTGGTAAATTGTATTATATTAAACGGTTTCAAAGATATTTGGTTTTTTTGCAGCCGTAACTCGTCTGCGTGAGGACGCAGTTACGGGCACAACTATTTTATGATATAAAATGTGAAGTAACAACCTATATACGTCTCAATTGCTGGGCACAGGCCTCTTCTCGTTCTGAGAGTGCTATGGACCTAGTGCCAGAGTTGCTCCAGTGTGTTTTGGCGGAGTTTTGGCGGGAACTTGACCGGCGACGGATTGCTGTTCCTGTATTATTGTTTAAATAATGGTTTGAAGTGGATTTTAATATGTAAAAGTGGTGCAATTTTGTGTATTAAATGTCTACGCATGTGAACTATTAATGGAAACGGTGAAACAAGTGCTCTGATGGTGATGTGATTCTCAAGATATAGTGTATGTCTGCTTAGGCGCCTTGAGATACCATCGCCAACTTTCAGCTGTCTGCTGGCTCAAGTTGCCGTCAAAATCTTGCAAGGGCTGCACAATGTTACACATCAACATATTGTGAAGCACTATACTATGAAGGATAATAATTATACATTGTAACTTCAGGCTCAGAAGGGCTAGAACCCAGAGGCGTAAAGCCAGTTATTATGTGTTTTGGCGGACATGTCCTCGAAGTATTCGATTCCGCAGACATGCAGGTTTCTTTACGTTATTTTCCGTCACCGCCGAGCACATGGCAAATCAGCACTGAAAATTGCAATTAACAATTTCAGTGGTACCGGTGGTGTTGGCGGCGGGGATCAACCCAGATTGTTTGCGTACTGTGAAAGATCCGGCAAGCGCTTAACTACTGAGCTATTACTGTTCTGTTTCAGTTTGTAATATAAACACATCTATTGTTTCAGATTTTAGGATTAAGTGTGACAAAGCGATTGTTAAATCTTCACGGCTCTTTGTTTGTTAAGGTAAGTGTTACTAGTTATGAAGTAAGGATAATATATAAGAATTATCGAGTAAGTGAATGCTGTGGCTCTTAAACTATATATCTCTATAAATATAGAATGCCTTATTACCAGTAAAAAGGATCTCCAATTCCCGTCGTCCACCATACGAAACAGAAAAGATAATTATGCTGTTTCGTATGGAAAAATCGAGCAGACCCAATCGCGCGGCATTGTTAGCTCAGCCACGTGACCACTTTTCTCATATTATCGAAATCTAAATCAATAAGTAGCCATGAAGTCTCGTTTATGTAGTCAGTAAACTTGTATCTCATGAAAACGTGGTAGAGTCATGCTGCAACTATATTAGTAGTATAGTTGTAGCACGAATGGATCGACTCGACCGGGGAAGGACCACGCTCTCACAGAATACCAGTAAAATAGCAGCTTAACACTGCTATTTTACGAAATTCGTTTGGTGAGTGTAGAGAACCGGAGACCCTTTTTACTGGAAAAGAGGCATTACATCCTAGTCCTCACGGGTGACAACGCATCTGCATTTTGATTCTTTATTGGGGATAGATGTAGATGTCTATGGGTCACAGCAACCACTTACCATCAGGTTGACTGTGTGCTCGTTTGTCACCCTATCCTATAAAAAAAAAACCTTAAAATTTACACTACACAGGTATTTTTCACTAGTCCACTGCAATGTGCATCTGTAAATACAGATTATGGTAAATTCCCGGATTAAAAATTTACCATAATTGACACTACAGGCATATTGATGATCATTGATCTAAGCGTCTCGTACAGTTGATACTGCCACCGGTCCGACTATTTTACATCTGGCATATTCTTTTAGCCGATAGATCTTTTTGGCGCTTCCCATTATCGACTTACGACACCCTAGGGTCATTAATTCCCTTACCATGATACCTGATACAAAAGTAAAGTGTGTGTGTGTATCTTTGACGAGCTTTTCATCATTGCCCACAGCAAATAATATGAAATTGTTGTCACTTATCATCTGAACTGAACTGCTAGTTCGTTTACGAATCGGCAGTTATTTTTCCTCCCGGTTGATTCTGACCAAAGTGACAAATACAGCAAAACTGTCGGAAGTGCTAAACGTTCAGACTAACTCATAGACTTTGCGAAAAGATGGGAGGTTGTCCAGACCATAGTGTCAGAAATTCACGGACAACTAAAACACAACCAAACTCAAAAACCAAAAATTTGTGTTTTTGTACAATTGTTGGCTGAGGCTAAGACTCGAACCCAAGACCAGAGGTACAGTAGCCAGACACTGACCACTAAGCAGATACCATATCTTCTTTGTCGGTCATTTGAATCTTCGTCTGGATGGTAGGTCTTTCGTCGTACTATATACACTTGCGATCGCGATATATGCGAGTAAATTATTGTCCACAGATTCAATTCATGAAGCGACCTGAGCGAGGTACCTTAACAGAATTTATCAAGAAATATAACTTCATAACCTTCAAACGCGTCGATAAGGGGGTAAACGTGTTCGTAGCCCAACTAAGCAATATCACTGATTTTGATCGCCTTTGCACTCCTAAACACGTTTATTGTGGTGAGTATAACTGAAAGTAAATTCTGAAATCAATTCCGTTCATTTCGATAATTTACTAAATTAAATAAATATTTTGCGTTTAAAATAGAGGTGTAAATCAAATATACAGGTTTTAACCTACTGCAGTGAAACTCAAAATAAGGGTTATGGTTTTGGTTGGTATGTATGTATGTGTGTATGTATGTAAGTTTCTATATTCCCCGAAACATAAAAAAAATATTTATTCATACAAATACACACAATAATATATAATACATAATAAAAAGTATAATAAATATCAAAAAATATGAAGTTTACATAGGAGACAGAGATAAATAATGTTTTTTACACGAATTTTGAACAAAGTCACTGTTTTCATTTGTCGAATGGGATGAGGATGTGAACCCCAGAGTCTTACTGCATGTACAGCGAATGAACGGGAATATGAATGAGCTTTATAGTATGGGAATTTTATCTACAAACTGCATCTGGTGATTTAAAAAAGTTAAATCGATTACGGAGGTATGAAAGAAAATTTTGAATGTGTGGGACGTTAAAAAGAAGACAATGGATACGAGTGTTCCTGAGAAATCGGATCGGGAGCTACTTGAGCTGAGACGTGATCAATCTTCTTGAGTCCGAAAATATACCGAATGCAAAGGTTTTGCAATCGCTCAAGTTTGTTTGATTGCTCTTCTATGACATCCCAAAATCAGACATCAGCGTAATGTAAGATTGGCAAAATGAGAGTTTAAACAAGAGAGATTTTAGTTGATAAGGGTAGAAAACTGAAGCCGTTTTAACGAGTGAAAAGCATACTAATCTTTTCTGCTTTAGTCCGTTATATGAGCACCCCGTGATAACCTATTGTCAATAATTAAGCCCAAGTCCTTCGCAGATTCCGAATAAGAAATTGATGTACTATTGATAATTACATCTGGTATGGTGTATTTATCAATATAACTACTAGTATATCTGCTACTTATTATTATTAACGCTTTAAACCAACCAATGACTAATTCTATCCAAGTAGTCATTCAGTGCGTCTATCGCCAATTTAGCCTCATATACCCCAAAGTGATAGTAAAGCTGCTATATTTTATATATTTTAGTATGCAATATTTTGTTTTAAGAATGTAGAATGTTTTTAAAACGTAAAAAAATTGAGAAAATATTTCCCAGCTTCAAGTGTACTGCGAAAAAAATATAAGTTTAAAAAGAGATACTAATATTATTTTATCCTTTGCAGGTCGAGACAGAGTAAAAGTGACACCGTGTTATAGTTTTACACACTGCCCGTCAAACTTGAGAACAAGTTTCAGCGACAGATACGGAGAAGAGGAAAAGAGCAAAAATATTGGTGCCTCAGAAAATAAGACCGAGTCTACCGACCAAACTGCTGAAAATAATAAAACAGCAGAAACAAGTGAGAAAGGAGGAACAATTGAAGCAAAAGAAAATAAATCTTCAATCACTAAACCTTCCGATACTAAACCTTCCGATGCTAAACCTGCCGAGGTTAAAACTGAAACAGTCATAAAAACGACCGAGAAAATATCCCACATAAAAGACGACGTCAAAGCAATAAAAGATCTAAAAACAAGCTTGATTGAGAACGAGAAATTAGAATCTAAAAATGAAAATACGCAAGATAAAAATAAAAAGACCCTTAAACCTAAAGAACAAGAACCATCTTCATCAATCAAAACCAAAGAACAAACAATTAAAAAACCAAATTTAAAAAAGCCAATACTGACAACAAAAGAAGTCAAAGGTAATAAAAATATTGATTTGATAGATAATCTAGACGCTTTCATGGATTTTAATGAGGAAGATCAAGAAGTTATCTCAGAGTATAAATATGACGATGATGAAGAATTGGATGACAAGGACATTCTTGCATTAATATCAGAAGGAATAGTTCTAGACGAGTGTAGTGGTTCAGAGGTAGAGTGATTTCTATTTCGTTAACAATTACTTCAAGTTTGTTTAAATAGTAGTAATATCTTAAAAATATTTAATAAAGTAATGTTCCAATATAAAGCTTTTTCGTTTCCGAAAGTAGATTCTTAAACTAAAAAGCTGGAGGCCTTCCGCCAATCCGTTAACTAAAAAAAATAATTATACTAGAAAATGGTAATAGGTATTCTTTTTTATAAAATAAGGGTGACAAATGAGCACACAGTCTACCTGTTGGTAAATGGATACTGTGCCCCATAGAATAATACAGAATAGAATGGCTGTCAACCTTATTTTGTACGAGAACAGATGTCGCCAGAAGCACATACAAGCGGTTACGCCGTATTAACACTACTAGAAACCCAATTCGCTCATTGGTCATACAAATTTCGATATATAAATGTTACAAACGCATCTAAACATCATGTTGTTATCTATTGTTTAATGTTGTTAATTTTAAATTTTACTTCAGAAAATATAGCACAAATACATAATCCGCTACCAAAATGTCTTGCAGAAAGAAAACCCATATTGCATGCCTTAAGCGCAAAGCGCGTAGTTATGTTCTACTAGCGCCTAAAAATCAAGATACTAACATTTTGTGGCATAAAATCTTATCTAACAATCATATTGAACATATAAATGATATATAAAGCACATTGTCAGAAAGATAAATGATTGTTGTACTTATTAATAATTATTTTAATTGCTATTTTTACATAAAAAAGTGGTTTTAGTAGCTGTAGATTTATCAAGTCCGCATGAAGTTGTAAACACGATAACTATTGAAAATATCAATTGTTTAACACAATCTATTTTTTAATCTCTTCATCTGTCAAGTGGGAAATCATGGAATGTAAATGGCAGTCTAATTTCGTTTTATTTAGTTATAATAAATTTTTTTCGGCGTCGAAATCCGGATATTTTCAGTGTTTTAGCAGCCTTGTAATAATTTATTTTACTAAATAGACTACCTCACTCACTCACTTCGGCGTCAACCGCCGTCGTAAGTGTATACTGTACAAAATATTTGAAAAACCAAATTTCATTCATACTTGATTATCATAATAATAAGATATTTTTATTACAATATTTTAAAAGCACTGAATAAATTATAGTAGTACGTACTAAAAGTAGCCTGTATATATTTAATTATATTTATACGTCTTGTAGACGTATGTCGTCCTGGAAAGACATGCAGGAATTCGATGGATGCAGTTGGCTCAAAACCTTGCTTTGTGGCATTCCTTGGGGGAGACCTATGTTCAGCAGTGGGCTTGTGAAGGGCTGTAATAATGATGACCGCATTCTTAACATTTAATTTTTGATAGTCCTTGTAAGTAAAATGTACCTCACTAGTTCACGCACACAATAACAAATTAAAGTTTGTCACGCGTTTTCGGGCTGTCAGGTCGTCTATACGCCCGTTTATTCAAAGTCTATGGTCAACGTGGTAGAGCCATGCTGCAGCTATATTAGTAGTATAGTTGTAGGACGAATAGATCGGCTCGACCGGGGAAGGACCACGCTCTCACAGAATACCAGCGTAATGTAGCAGCTTAACACTGCTGTGTTTTGTGTGGTGAGTGTAGAGAACCGGGAGACCCTTTTTACTGGAAACGAGGCATTCCATCTTAGTCCTCACGGGTAACAACTAACAACGCATCTGCATTTTGATTCGCAAACGAGATGATAGATGTCTATGGGCCACAGCAACCACTTAACATCAGGTGGACTGTGTGCTCGTTTGTCACCCTATCCTATAAAAAAAACCCTGAGGACTAGGGTGGAATGTCTCGTATCCAGTAAAATAGGGTCTTTGATTCTCTACACTCACCATACGAAACACAGAGCATTAAGCTGTTATTTTACGCTGGTATTCTGTGAGAGTATTCTTGTTACAACCATAATATAGCTACAGCGTGGCTCAACCACGTTAATAGGGTGCTGTAGTCTCGTTGTACTTTTATTCACTATAATAGGGATGAGCAAGTGAAAAAAATATATCGATATTTTAAGCAATATCAATAATTATCGCGTAATAGATATCGATATATTGTCATGATTTGCATCATGTAGTAGAATAAGGGCCAACATTTTATTACTGGACGTTTTGACGACGAGAAAAAACAGCACACGAATGTTTTTGTAGTTGGTTTTGTTGCTAAATTGTTTTGTATGTTAAATTACATTGTCTTATCTATTACATTTTTTCAATTAAATAAATATGTATATCATTTTATTATATATCGAAATTGATACAAATTCTTCTAATACTCTAAAATAAATATCGTATATCGATATATAGCTATTAAAAATACCGACGATAAAAATCGATAATTTTATGAGAAAATTTATCGATATATAAATATTTTTTATCCAAGTCTTCACTATAATCATTATTTTATTTCGTTCGTTACCTCGTTAGTACTTAACGGTAAGAGCCTGTTAAGAGCCGTAGGAATTCCAATTTGATGTGAATTTTCATGTAAAGTGTAAACTTTCGATTTTAGAGCTTTTCAAAAAAAGGACGATTCGTAACCCTTGTGTACGATAAATTTGACGTCTCCTTGGAACAGATGGTTCTTGTTCTGAGGATGAACAAGTTGGCGGATTCGAAAATGACCGTGTTCTCTCCTCTGTCTTCAAACCTCAGATAATCCTATATAATCGCGTAGTAGAGCCAAGCAGCAGCTATATTATGGTTGTAGCACGAAAGGGTCGGCTCGTCCTGAACCACGACTCGAACTAATCTGCATTTTGTTTCTTAATCGAGTATAATATGTAGATGTCTAGGAGCCCCTGCATCCATTTACCATCAAGTGGACTGTACGCTCGTTTGTCACCCCTATTCTATAAAAGAAACACATCCCAGAACAACTTATCTATCTCTTCTTCCAGCTCTATTATCTTCCCGTCAGTCATTCAGCTGGAGGCTCTTAGCATCTTTTACTCTGCCGTTATCATGTTTGCAACCAAAGCCAATTATACCGAGGTCGCAGAGGACTGGGGAAGTTTTTATTATTTTTGATCATAAAGGATTGTTCGCCATAGTTACCGTGCTTTGCGATCGGGTGTGCAATCGTAATTTTTTTTTTATTAAATAAGGATAGACTTTGATTTACCACATGGTAAACCACAGTTTATAACATCCACAGTACATCTTAGAAGTAATTCACACTTAGAAGTAATAACACAGTAAACCTTTCTGCTAAGAAGTCCGTCTGTGTAGCTGCCACTCCTTTACATATTTCTACCGCCAAATAGCAGTGCGGGCTAATGTTTTCTGATTTTGATGTACAGCTCACCAGTATAATAACAGGCATTTTATTCTCATAGTCCTCAAAGATGTCAATGCCTCTGTAGCCTTCTTTATTAGAAGTTGGCTGCAGGTGTTCGTGGACTGTAAGACGAATGTAAATTCGTTTGTGACTTTTTTTTATAGGATAGGGTGACAAGCAAGCACACAGTCCACCTAATGGTAAGTGGTTGCTACCCATAGACATCTACATCTATCCTCGTTTGCGAATCAAAATGCAGATGCGTTGTCACCCGTGATGACTAAGATGTAATGCCTCTTTTCCAGTAAAATAGGGTCTCCGGTTCTCTACACTCACCATACGAAACACAATAGTGTTAAGTTGCTATTTTACGCTGGTATTCTGTGGAGCGTAGTCCTTCCCTGGTCAAGCCAACCCATTCGTGCTACTACTATACTACTAACATATCTGCAGCATGGCTCTACCACGTTAAAACCTACTTCAGTATTATATAACTTATATAGAAAATTTTAAAACCCCAGAAAAGAACCCTACCGCAGCTAACAAAATAGCTGATGACCTTGTAACAGCTAAACCGATTGTGATAAAACATGTTTCTTAAGCCGCGTCTCCACCAAAGTTTTGTTGCCAACACAACAGTTGGAAACATAACTTGAAACAATGTCGGGAACCGTGTTTCCATTTTCGGCGGCAACATCAAAGGAATACGCTTGTTGCAAACATTTGTTCCCTCGGTGGAGATGCTTGTTGGAAACAGTTGGAAACATAATTGTTGTCAACATTTTTGGTGGATACGTGGCTTCAGACAGCCGCTACAAAACCTGCTTTTAAGTAAAAAAAAAACCTCACCCAAATCGGTTCACCCGTTTAAGAGCTAAGGTAATGGAACCAGTTATGGACAGTTTTAGAAAACATTTTCAGATAATATAACACTGACAACCACTTTTAATGAAATTAGATATTTCGATATGATAAAGTAAAAGAATAGTATCTTGGCAAATATTTTTAATAAAGAAAAATATAATACCAGGTTATATATGTTTTAAAAAAAAGTTAAATCAAAGTCATTCCTAATCGCTAGTGATGGACAGGCAAAATTTAATTATGGACACCCATTAATGGACAATCTCCAGTAATGGACTTCTAGTAATGAACACAGAGACAACAAATAATAACAATAATAAAGGTAAGCTGTTTCTTTAAATCACTAGGCTATGTTTGCCTTACTTACTTTGACTTGTTCAATACAAATGATAAGACTAGTAAGTATTAAACTTTGAGATAAGATATTGGTACAAGCAGAAATAAAATGCACAAATTAGTATTACTAAACATTAGTAAGTGCTCTTACAATATGTCTTCATACCATCGAAATCAGTCAGTGGTGGTTTAAACAAACAACAACAATAATTTTAGTAATCATAGATATAAAACTTTAAAAGGCGAAAACAATAAAATTACATATACAGATAGCTTACTTAAGTTAGTTAAATTACACATAATAAGCGACATATAATAAATGGTAGACGCACCTCCTAATAATCATTAAACCTTTATGTCTCTCGTGTATATCTTAAATCTTTGTCATGAATATATCAGGTAAAAATTTTAACAGTAACTTTAAAGAATCCTCTATTATTTTGTTTTATAGGAGATCTAATTATTTCAATAATGTCATTTTATACCAGACTTTATCCGCTTTGTCCGGCTATCTGA